TTCCATCAAGGAATGATGGATTGAATAAATGAAGCAAAAGATGAACTATACATTTTGGCTTTTGTTTTTCTTATGTTCATCTCTTTATATAATATACCTTTTGGCTTTTGTTTTAAATTTTTGGAATGTTACCTTGTTGGTACTTGGTAGTTGGTATTGGTAATATGTTAGTCTATGACTTTATGATATGAATTATATAATTATGGTTTAAAATTTAAAGGCTTGAGTTCACTATGAAATTTTGTCCTAAGACTCCTAACATCTCTGTCTTTATATAGTTATACTCAACAATTTTGCATTTGTTTATTTATTTATTTGTTTCATAAGTTCAATAGTTCATAACAATATGACATAAATTTCAAATAATATTTCAGGTGCAAACTTTCGAAGTGCAGTCTGCAGACTGTAGTGCTGTATGATGTGTGACTGAAGAGTGAAGACTGAAATCTGAATCTATGTAGTGCAAGTGTCAGTCAATTCACAAATTGGCTAATAATCAATAACTCAATAAAGTACTTATTTAGTAATTTAAGTTCTTTAGTTATTTAACAATAATGAATTAACATTATCTCTTACTTATCTTGATAGTTGTTGCCTCCTGTCTTATGTTATGCTTAGTTGCCTGTATGATTAAATTTATCAAATTATCAGTAATATTTTGATTTTGATTTTTCAATATTTTGTATGCCGTATCCAAATACCCATGTCCGATTTTAGGACACTTTTATTCCGTATCCCCATGTCCTATAATTTAATAGTTAGATGGATCCGACCTCTAAACACATACCCGTGTCCAATATCCGTACCCAAGTCCAAGTAACATAGGTGACACGTGTCAGCACAACACATAAATAGTATACAGATACATATTATATAAATTGACTAAGTTTCCTTTAGAAGCTGGGTTTGGACTGTTCCAAACATTTACTTATCCATGTGTTCTAAAAAAATAAAAAATAAAAAAAGGAGAAAATATAGAGCAGTGAAAAGGGGTCAAAAGAGAGTTGTTCGAGAGTCCGGAGAGATAAAGAGAGGGAATGAACAGATCTTATCACCACCATCTTCTCATTAATTCATAAATCAATTGCTAGGGTTTCTCTAACTCTAGTTGCTTTTAGTGGATTTTATCCTTAAAAACGTTATTTAAATTGTTGGAAATTTCTTTGAAATTAGGTATCATATTGTTCTATAATTTGGAAAAGTTTTACAGCTTGTTGTACTTAGAATCCTCCTGGTCTAAAATTTTGGAAAAGTACCATATAGCTTGTTCTATTATGAAAATTATAGTTGCATGTATTTTCCATAATTTGAGAATATTTTATGTTTCTATAACTCTAGTTGCTTTTAGTGGATTTTATCCTTAAAAACGTTACTTAAATTGTTGGAAATTGCCTTGAAATTAGGTATCATATTGTTCTATAATTTCGAAAAGTTTTACAGTTTGTTGTACTCAGAATCCTCCTGGTCTAAAATTTTAGAAAAGTATCATATAGCTTGTTCTATTATGAAAATTTCAGTTGCATGTATTTGCTATAATTTGATAATATTTTATGTTTCTAGATATTAACTCCTAGGATTATTTCTAGGACTTGATATATATATATCCATTATGTTGAATTTGTATTTTGGGTTGTATTGTTCATAGCTATTAGGTATGTTATAGTTCCCAATCTCTATTAATTGAATGGAGAATGTCTTGTGGCCAAATTGAAGAATTATATCAATTTACTTGAGTAGGTTTCTTTCTCTCTTAATTTTGTGGATTTTTATTTTTATTTTTATTTTTATTCCAAGTGATGAAATGTTATGAAGCTATTTTTCTCTCACAAGCGAATTAGAAGATTTAGTTGTTTAGTGTGGAAGATGGTTGTGAATTTTTAAACTCTAAATTGGCCTCATGTAATTGGAGTATGAACTGGTCACTTTGGGTTTTAGAGCTGAGATATCATGTTTTGACTTGGTATTTTTCATTTCAAATTTGGATATTTTAATTTATGGTATTTCAGAGATTGTGATTTTTTGCCCTAATTTAGGTTATTTCATTAAGGTTTTAGATTTTATAAGTATCACGCCATGCTAAAATTCTTCCATCATATGTAATTAAGATAATGATTTATGCTAAGCTGGATAGAGGTTCATGTAGGTAAGGATAAAACTTATTTAACATACATTATGTTTATCATAATTGTTTTTCTAGAGAAGATTCAAATGATAATCTATTTTTTGGAATTATGCTCGTGCTGGTTCTTCCAGATTTGCAAGTGGGAAGGGCTCTCATCTTCAGGGGTGTCCTTAACTGATTTAGATTTGCTTTTCTTTTTTGTCTTTTTTTAAATAGCTTATCTTATTTATTGTTGAAGTTTTGAGGTATGCCCTAAAACTTAATGGATGGTTGTTCATTTCAACCTTTTCTTATTATACTTCTTTGTATTAAATTTTTGTATCAATAAAATAAAAACATTCAGGGAAAAAAGTATTATCACTAACATTATTTATCATTAACAAAAAAATTGAAAACATCATATTTGTAATAATTTGATCTCATTGTCATTAAGGGTTTTGAATTTATACCTATATTTAAAGAAGAAATGTCCAGAACGACTTCCACTTCCTCCCTTTCGCTTTGGTTCTGAACTTCCTACCTTGTTGTTCAAACTCTAACTCTGTTTTAATCTACCAACGGTGTTGTTTAAGCTGTGCTTCAAAGGGCCTTTACCTTCAATCTCATTGGTGCTGCTGGATGATTAAAATGAAGAAATAACAGAAGAAGAGTATGACGCATCATCAGAATCGCTTACACTATCCAAAGCGATTCTTTTTTCATCATATTTGGACACAAATTTTTTTTTCCCCCTCTTTTCACCGCATTTGGGCACATCTTTCTTCATTTTTTCACCGCTTTTGGCTTTGGCTGCATCGTTCTTCTTCTCTTCATCGCGCTTGGCCACATGCTTTGTTAGGCGCTGAATGTTATACATTTTAGCCCCTTTATTCGTATGTTTTATTCTCTTAATAATAGTTTATTTGTGATTTTATATTGTTTTATTGTTTTTATTTATTTTAGGGCTTTAATTGTAAAATCAATTAAGACCAGTAATTCTGAGCTTTACAAGATGACTTTTCGTGGGACCGAGCAATGTTGAAGATCCAAGTCTAATTATACTTAGAAAATAGTCCAAAAGAAGTTACAAGTTGATGAGAATGGAAAGAAGAAGAAAAGAAAAAATCCTTCTCCAAAAAGGATTTGTCACCAAAGTTGGTAACTTAAACCCGTTTTGGTAATCTGGCTGTATCTCTCTCCTCGAGTGTCAAAACGGCTAAATTCTCACGTAAGTTGATAGGAAATCTGAAGAGCTACAATTTTGTGTTTCACGAGCTTTCCCTAAAACAGCTGTTTACCTTGTCAAAATTGGCCTAGAAGTCTGCACGAATTTTGGGAGTCCTTCTTCGACAGAATTTCTATGTATGTCTCCTATATGAAAAAGTGAACTATGAGGCTGATATTTTATTATTTAAAGGGGGTCTTCTACAACATTGGAGGGAAGATCAGAGAGGAGCTTGAGGCTGAGATCAGAGAGGAGCAGTCAGAAGAAAGAAGAGATCGATCCATGGCGGTGAAGATGTCTTCCTCAACTATGAAGAATTCCACCCCAGTCATGCTTGGCTAAATGCTTTGTTAGGGTTGTGATGTAGCCCTAACTTAGCACCCTGGTTTGATTGTATTTAATTATTGGAGAACAATTTTTATCATGCATGATTGTGTAATCTATAGGGTTTTTAATTGAATTTTCAATAAGAATCGGTTTTAGAGTTTTAATTCAATTACAAATATTTTTCTATCTTGTCTTAGATATTTTGATCTTGTGATTGAACACAACTCATTCTCTTCTTGTAGTTGTGAATGAGATGATTACACAATGGTATTTATCTGAATATAATGTTAGAGATTTGATGGATTATGCCTAGAAAAGATAGACCATGTTACACCCTAAAGTAAAGTAGATAGGTAGATGGTTTATACCAATCAAAGATAGTCCATAATTAGCTTTAAATTGTATTATTTTCTAGTTGCATTAATATGTGCTTGTAGCCATGATTAATTCCCTGTGCATGTTATATGATATATATCTCCAATAAATTGATGTAATTAACTGGTGGTGCGACGTTAGTGGTGAAATCATACCCGTAGTTCTCTCTCTCTATTTTCTACATCATATTTGATCATCGTTCTTTAGTATATTTTATTTTTCTACTTAGTTAATTTAGAATTAATCATCACAATTCGATTATCCTACTTTTAAGTTAATTTTGGAATTTAAGAAATCTGTTGACAAACTTAATTTACACAAGTCCCTTGGGTACGACACCCTTACAAGTAAACCCTATCTGCAAAGATTCGTGCACTTGCGAGTGGTACATATAAATCTCACAACAAGTTTTTGTTTTCGAAACAAGCATGACTTATAAACCTGCACAAGTAACTAAAAGCACTACAAAATAAATTAAATCCTCCTAATCTACTAAAACAAAAAATAAAATTAAGGAGAGAAAGTAAAAAGAGAAAAAAATAAAAACAAAAATAAAAATAAAAATCTTATCTACACTTCCTACATTTAACGTCGGTAGGCGACATGATACCTGGATAATTAAGTGGAGTAAATGGGATCTGTCAAAGTGATGGATTCAACTCCTTCTGTAGGCACAGAATCTTCAATGTACAACTTCAATCTCTGACCATTTACTTATAGTGTCTTGGCTTTCTTTGGGTCAAAAATAGTGATAGCCCCGTGAGGGGTTACCGTTTGAACTTGATATGGACCATCCCATCTTGAGCGCAATTTCCTTGGAAATAGCTTCAGCTTGGAGTTGAACAACCAGACTTTGTTACCTGGCTCGAAAGACTTTCTCATAATGTGCTTATCATGAAACGCCTTAGTTCTAGCTTTGTAAATTCTTGCACTTTCGTAAGCATCATTGCGAAGTTCTTCTAACTCACTTAACTATAACCTCCTTTTGGCCCCAGCTTGACTCATGTCAAAGTTTAATTTTTTCACGGCCCAAAAAGCTTTATGTTCCAATTCCACAGGTAAATGACATGTTTTCCCGAAGACCAAGCGATATGGCGACATCCCAATTCGTGTCTTGAATGTTGTACAATACACCCATAAAGCATCATTGAGATGCAATGACCAATCCTTTCGATCCGGTCGAACCGTCTTCTCAAGGATATGTTTGATCTCGTGATTTGAAATCTCTACTTGACCGCTTGTCTGAGGGTGGTAAGAAGTACCTACCTTGTGAGAGATGGAATATTTCTGAAATAAGATTCGAAGAAAGCGATTACAAAAATGCTTTCCACCATCGCTGATTACTGCCCTTGGCATTCCGAACCGACTAAAAATATTGCTTTGAAGAAATTCAACCACCACCTTGTGGTCATTAGTCGTTGTTGCCACTGCTTCTACCCACTTGGAGAGGAAATCCACCCCTACCAAAATATACTCCTTGCCATGCGACTTAGGGAATGGCCCCATGAAATTAATGCCCCAGACATCGAAAATTTCAATAACCAGAATTGAGGAGAGAGGCGTCATGTCTCTTTTTGTAATGGTACCCAACCGTTGACATCGATCACAGGCCTTAACAAATTTGTGAGCATCTTTGAACAAGGAAGGCCAAGTTAGACCACTCTGAAGAATCTTTGCTGCTGTCTTCTTCCCACTGAAATGGCCACCACAAGTAAGTGTGTGACAAAATTTCAGAACACTGGGAATTTTATTATCTGGTACACAACGACAAATAATTTGATCCGAGCAGTACTTATATAACTGTGGATCCTCCCAATGGTAATATTTCACTTGAGAGAAGAACTTGTCTTTCTCATGTTTGGTCCAATTAGATGGAATTCTTCTGGATGCCTTCCAGTTTACAATATCAACATACCATAGTGGATTTTCCTTCTGAAGTTGAAATAACTATTCATCTGGGAATGAATCATGCAATGGAAGAGTACACGATGAATCTACCAAAATTCTGGATAAGTGGTCTGCCACCACATTTTTTGAACCCTTCTTGTCTTTGATTTCTAGGTCGAATTCTTGTAGCAACAGAATCTACCTAATCAACCTTGGCTTGGTGTCTTTTTTGTTGAGTAAATGTTGAAGAGCTACATGATCAGAAAACACAATAACTTTGGAACCCAACAAATAAGAGCGAAACTTGTCCAAAGCAAAGACCACTGCTAATAATTCCTTTTTAGTAGTGGCATAGTTCAATTGTGCCTCTGTTAAGATCTTGCTTGCATAATAAATTACTCTTAGCAATTTCTCCATTCTCTGACCCAAAACGGCGCCAACTGTATAGTCTGATGCATCACACATAATCTCAAAATGAAGAAAGAGACCAATCTGGAGCCTGCATATGGGTGCAAAAGACAATAAAGAGCGAAGTTGCTCAAATACCTTTAGACATTTTTTATCAAAGTGAAAAGGAACATCCTTTCCCAATAAATTGCATAATGGCCTTGCGAGTTTACTGAAGTCTTTGATAAAACGTCCGTAAAATCCTGCATGGCCTAGGAATGATCGCACTTGTCTCACCGATGATGGGGGAGGAAGATTACAGATAAGATCGACCTTAGCTTTGTTTACTTCAATTCCTCTCTTGGATATTATATGGCCAAGGACAATTCCTTCTTGCACAATAAAGTGACTTTTCTCCCAACTTAAGATTAAATTCTTCTCTTTACATCATTGAAGAACAAGCACTAAATTCTCCAGGCAATTATCAAATGAAGACCCAAACACTGAGAAGTCATCCATGAAGACTTCTAGAAAATTTTCAATCATATCAGAGAAAATAGCCATCATGCATCTATGAAAAGTGGCTGGTGCATTACAGAGTCCGAAAGGCATGCGGCGATAGGCAAAAGTACCATATGGACAAGTGAAAGTTATCTTCTCCTGATCGTCAGGATGAATGGCAACTTGATTGTATCCAGAATACCTGTCCAAGAAGCAATAAAATTTCTTCCCTGCCAGTTTCTCCAATATTTAATCAATAAAGGGAAGAGGAAAGTGATCATTCCGTGTCTTGGAATTCAATTTGCGGTAATCTATGCACACTCACCAACCTGTAGTAGTGCGTTGGGGAAGTAAAGTACCTTCAGAATTTTCAACCACAGTGATCCCAGATTTCTTTGGAACCACTTGAATCGGGCTCACCCATTGACTGTATGAAATTGGGTAAATAATGCCTGCATCAAGTAACTTAACTACTTCCTTTTTCACACCTCTTTCATATTTGGATTTAACCTCCTTTGTGCTTCTCGCGAAGGTTTAGAATCTTCTTCTAAGAAAATCCGATGCATACATACTAAGGGATCAATCCCTTTGAGATCAGCCACACTCCAGCCAATAGCTTCTCGATGGTTGGCTAGTACTTCTAATAATTTCTCTTCTTGTACGTTTGATAGCTTTGCTGAAATAATTACTGGAAGAGTACAATCTGGCCCAAGAAATGCATATTTCATATGAGAGGGTAACTGCTTCAGCTCTAGCTCTGGCGGACACTCCAAAGATGGTATAGGTGGTTTACTTGACAATTGTGGAAGTGGCTCAATAGGAATCTTCCATGGTGGAGTGTTGTGCATACTCGCTACATCAAGCAGGGCATTCACCTCTTCAATACTTTTCTCAACATCAAATGACTCGGCATCAAAGTAAAATAGACATGCTTCCAGTGGATCTTTTATCAATGCAAATAGGGTCATCTCTTCAACACATTCATCGATGGCATCGACTAGAAAACAATCATTATTATCTGAAGGGCATTGACTGGCATTGAAAATATTTAAGCGTACCTTCATATTACCAAAAGATACGTCCATGACGCCTGTCCTACAATTTATGCTCGCATTTGCTGTTGCAAGGAAAGGATGACCAAGGATCACAGGAATGTGCCTCCTTGGTTCCGGAACGGGCTCGGTATCTAGCACAATAAAGTCAACTGGGAAGTAGAATTTATCTACTTTGATAATTACATCTTCGACAACACCACGAGGCTGTTTAGTTGACCTATCTACCAATTGGAGAATAATGGAGGTAGACTTTAATTCTCCTAATTTGAGTTGCAAGTAAACCGAATAAGGAAGAAGGTTTACACTAGGACCCAAATCTAAGAGAGCTCGCTCTATTTGATGATTCCCTATTGTGCATGAAATTGTTGGAGCGCCTGGATCTTTGAATTTTGGAGTAGTGCAGTGCTGGATTATGGAACTGACTTGCTCAGTTAATAGCACCTTCTTAGGAATATGGTTACTTGAACGCCTCTTCTGAGTACACATATCTTTCAAAAATTTGGCGTAAGCTGGAATTTACTGAATTGCATCAAGCAATGGGAGATTAATCTTCACCTGTTTTAACATCTCCTTTATGTCCTGAAGTTTACTTGCTTGCTTTGCTACCTTTGATGTTTCTTGTAGTCTCTAAGGGAATGGCACAACAACATGCCTTTGTTCTGGAGATGGCTCAGTAGTTGAAAAAAAAAAAATTCCATGGCATTCAGAAAAAAAAAAAAAAAAAGGGATGATTAGAGCAGAATGGAGCATTTTTTGGGTCCAATCATCGACCAAACCGCCTACGGCGTTTGCATGGTGTAGATCTCGAAAAAATACCCAAAATGAAAAAAAAAAAATTCGTCCAAAACGGACTCCTGATGACAAAGTTATGGCCGTTTGAAGTTTGCTTTCTAAAAAAAAAAAAAAAAAACTTCGGATCTGCAGCAAGAGAAGGCGAACCATCGCCCGGCTTTGGGGCGACCATCGCCCAAGTAAGAAGCATTTTCAAACTAGAAGCAGGTCCGGGCGATCGATCGCCTGGTGAAAAAAATACACAACCAGGTAGCAGTGTCAGGCGATCGTTCGCCCGACCCATGGGCGACGGTCGCCCGACTTGGTGTTTACAAAGGCTGCGGTAGTATGTGTTTTGGCCAGATCCATTCTTTCTTTCTCCAACCCACATTCTCTTTCCTTTTCCTAAACTAACCAAATTTCTCTACCCCACAGCTATCATTACCACACTCCATCTCCCAATCCTATATTTTCTTTACCCCATTACAATCATCAACCCATACTTACATTCCATCACCCCTCATTCACCTTCCATCATTCCCTACACCAGATTCCATACTTCCATATAAAAAAATAAAAAAAATCTCCTCAATTTCTTTCTTACCCACATTAGAAATACTGTCACCATCTTAATTTTCTTTCTTCCTTCTTCCTCACCATCTATTTATACCTTATTCCACAACTGTATTCTTCACCATCCCATATTGTTTGCACCAATTTGGAGAAGAAATCAAAGTTTTCAAGGTAAGAATTTGGGACTGTGCGCTAAGTGTTTGACAAAAGGCCTCAAAGAATTCTTTTTCTTTTTACATGGCTTCCAGAAAAAAGAAAGCCACACAAGGCGGTGCTTCAACAAGCCGCTCCATTCAATCTTCCATGAGGGGGCCAACTCTTCGAGATACCATAGATGAGAGGTGGCATGGTCGCAAACTTAATTATGAAGTGGGTTTTGACATCGAATTTCTTAATGCATGCATTCCAGAAACTCAGTGGCCCATTGCAGATTTACGACGCCGGCAAGCTGAATGCCTTTTTGAGCCGGCTAGTAAACTCATGTACCCCAGATTAGTCAAGGTGTTTTACCAAAATCTTCATTCCAATCCAAATGAACGGGGAGCACTAGTGTCATTCGTTGATGGTACAATAATTCGCATTACTCCTTCAACAATTGCCATAGCTTTGGGATGTCCACATCAATGCCCGACTGATTTGGAGTCAATGTTCACTCTGATGTCAGACATCCCCACTAGACTAATGATTAGTCGCCTTGCTGTATATTATTTCTCTGGCTCCAAATATAATTCTACTGCCAAATCGTCTTTGCCATTACACCTATGGTTTGTCAATGCCATACTTTTGCACAATGTGTGTCCTCTTACTCATCAATCTGAGCATCGTCAAGATTTTCTGCGTGCTTTATATGCCATCCATTTTGGCCATTGGGTATCTTTTCCAGAATTCATCTATGGGCAGCTTAAAAAATTTTATGATTTGGTGATCAAGCAAACTCCGGAAAAAGAAAAAGATTGGAAGTTTCCTTTGCCATTCTTTATTATTCGACTGCTCACTTCCCAAGGCTACACTATTGCTACCGATGAGTTTTCTTCTGTGCACAATGATCGCTACGGTGAGGTTGATTGGAATTGCAGCTGATCTCACATGACATTAAAGGTGGTTGCAGGACCTGGAGAACCGGCTCGCCCAATTGTGCAGGGTGACCAAGTTTTGCCTATTCATCCAAGTCAATTGGCTACTAGATAGGTCATCGATGATGAGTCTGCTGATGAACCCCATGATGAGCCTATGGAAGAGGCCGCCAATGATGTCGAGGATGACACTGATAAGCATCCCTATGACTATTTGGTTGGTGAGGTGACCCAACTCCGATCTGAAGTTCAAGAAATCCATCAGGGGCAAAGGACGATTCTTGAGGAACAAAGGATGATTCATCAAGATCAAAGAACAATGATGGATATGATGCGTGCGCTTATGATTCATAACGGGCTTAATCCCGATGCTCTACCGCCTCCATTTTAGCTATCCTGTTAAGTGCTTTTGTTCTTTGTTTTTATTTTCTTTTTAGTTCTTATTTTTCTTACTTTTGATTTTTGCCCAGTGAGGATACTGTCCAATTCCAGTTTGGGGGCATAGCGTTTACTTTAGTTGTATTAAAATACTCTAGTACTTAAATTAAATTAAAAAAAAAAAAATTCTTTGGCATATTGACTTTAATTCAAGTATTTGAGAATTGTTGGGGGGATTAAGACACTTGAGTACTTTTCAAAATTCTTTTCTGAGATCGTCTTGAATCCCTAATTTTCGTACTTTATTTTATGTGGATTCCATTATCTAGTGTAATAGGAATTTTAGTATTGTCGGTCCCTGATGGATTTCACACGCACACTAGAATTTTATCTATGGGTATTTGTATTTTTGATTATATTCTGATGACTATGGATGGATATGAATTGGTGAACTTTGAAGGTTATTACTATGGTAGAGATATTGAAAAAAAAAAAGAAAAAGAAAAAAAAAAAAAAGAAAAGAAAAAAAGCAGAAGAAAAATATATATATATTTCGTAACCCTTTCATGGAGTAATCGGGGCTCATGTCTTATATACATAGAGTGTTCGCATGAAGAAATGGGGGTAAGGATAAAGGAAAAAAAAAAAAAAAAGAGAAGGAAAAAATAAATAAATAATATTTTGCCATAGAAAATAACTTAAGAAAAAATCTGAGGAATTGAAGCTATAGAAGTTGGGTTCAATTGAAAATACATTACTACATAGGTGATTTGCTAGTTCACAAATTTCACAACATTGGGGATTGATTTTGCTATTTTTCTTGTTGTATAAGTGTGTGGGAAACATTATGATGAAATATGAAAATAGGGACAAAAGAGTAAAGTCAGACGATAATTTTTAAAGTACTTTTGTGTAGTCTTCCCCTTGATTATAATAATGATATGAGAAAGAGTTGATTGCCAAGGGATTGAATTGTGTTGTATGTTTGTGGGTATCATCTCTGGAAACCCTCACGAGACTTCACTCGTCCACTAGGGGTAACCTAGGGGTTTAAAAGGCTTGTTGCATATGCTAAATGCAATCGTGATTCCCACGAAAGCGGCATTTATATTTTCTTTAGTTTTATTGCTATGGGACTAGCAATATGTAAGTTTGGGGGTGTGTTAGGCGCTGAGTATTATACATTCTAGCCCCTTTATTCGTATGTTTTATTTTCTTAATAATAGTTTATTTGTGATTTTATATTGTTTTATTGTTTTTATTTATTTCAGGGCTTTAATTGTAAAATCAGTCAAGACCAGTAATTCTGAGCTTTACAAGATGACTTTTCGTGGGACCGAGCAATGTTGAAGATCCAAGTCTAATTATACTTAGAAAATAGTCTAAAAGAAGTTACAAGTTGATGAGAATGGAAAGAAGAAGAAAAGGAAAAATCATTCTCCAAAAAGGATTTGTCGCCAAAGTTGGTAACTTAAACCCGTTTTGGTAATCTGGCTGTATCTCTCTCCTCGAGTGTCAAAACGGCTAAATTCTTTCAAAAGTTAATAGGAAATTCGAAGAGCTACAATTTTGTGTTTCACGAGCTTTCCCTAAAACAGTTGTTTACCTTGTCAAAATTGGCCTAGAAGTCTGCACGAATTTTGGGAGTCCTTCTTCGACAAAATTTCTATGTATGTCTCCTATATGAAAAAGGGAACTATAGGGCTGATATTTTATTATTTAAAGGGGGTCCTCTACAGCATTGGAGGGGAGATCAAAGAGGAGCTTGAGGCTGAGATCAGAGAAGAGCAGTCAGAAGAAAGAAGATTTTGATCCATGGCAGTGAAGATGTCTTCCTCAACTATGAAGAATTCCACCCCAGTCATGCTTAGCTAAACACTTTGCTAGGGTTGTGATGTAGCCCTAGCTTAGCACCCTGGTTTGATTGTATTTAATTATTGGAGAATAATTTATATCATGCATGATTGTGTAATCTATAGGGTTTTTAATTGAATTTTCAATAAGAATCGATTTTAGAGTTTTAATTCAATTACAAATATTTTTGTATCTTGTCTTAGATATTTTGATCTTGTGATTGAACACAACTCGTTCGCTTCTTGTAGTTGTGATTGAGATGATTACACAATAGTTTTTCTCTGAATATAATGTTAGAGATTTGATGGATTATGCCTAGAAAAGATAGACCATGCTACACTCTAGAGTAAAGTAGATAGGTAGATGGTTTATACCAAACGAAGATAGTCTATACTTAGCTTTAAATTATATTATTCTCTAGCTGAATTAATATGTGCTTGTAGCCATGATTGATTCTCTATGCATATTATATGATATATCTCCAATAAATTGATGCAATTAACTGGTGGTGCGACGTTAGTGGTGAAGTCATACCCCTAGTCCTCTCTCTCTATTTTCTACATCATATATAATGATTGTTCTTTAGTTTATTTTATTTTTCTACTTAGTTAATTTAGAATTAATCATCACAATTCGATTATCCTACTTTCAAGTTAATTTTGAAATTTAAGAAATTTGTTGACAAACTTAATTTACACAAGTCCCTTGGGTACGACACCCTTACAAGTGAACCCTATCTGCAAAGATTCGTGCACTTGCGAGTAGTACATATAAATCTCACAACATGCTTAAACCCTAGTGTTTTTTTCCCCTCTCTGTTATGCTTTGTTTGAAAACCCTTGAAACCCTTGGCTCTTTGTTTTTGGAGGGAGATATGATGTGACATGACCAGTTGTTTTAACTATGGCACCTTTTTTTTTATTACATTATTATTATTTTTAATAAAAGTAATACTATAAAAGTTAACGGAAGCAAGTGCTAATAGAAAAAATTGATTTTCTTTACCTTCATATCATTGTTACAATGGCCCCCACAACACTTCTAAATGTAAATAGACGTGGCTATCTGTGTGCCACACAGTTATAATTAGCCAAACCAAACAAGGACTTAGAAGTGGACTGACTAGGACGGGATGGCAAGTAACTGCAAAGGATTCACGCCCAATTGGAAGTGTTGTATGACTTTGATTGATGAAATACAGAAGCGAAAAAGAAAATAAATGCTATTTTTATAAAATAAAAAATTAAATATTAAGAGTGGTGAAGTTTTTAAATGGCAATAATAAATAAATATTTTTTAATATCTTATAAAAATTTTAGTGCCCAGTATTCATTAATAAGTGATATACCTCTCATTAAAAAAAAAAAAAAAAAGTGATATACCTCTCACTTAAAATCTTACCCCTTTTTAGGTACCGTGTACGGTTTTTTAGTGATATTCAAACTGTATTATCAAACACACTTAATTAATTAAGAGCTTAATTTGTCAATCTAGCTTGACAACCCCTGCGCACTGAATTAAGTTTTCAAACAGCACCTTAAGTAATTTTATGGCACTTAAAATTAGTCTATCACAAGAAATATATATATGTCGAATTCTTTCTAATAATATTTGCACAGTATTTCATACATACAAATTTTGATGTAGAGACACCATTATTTTTCTAAGTTTACTATTTCCAACTCTCGTCTTTTCTTTTCACCTACTCCCTCTGTCCCACTTTAAATGTCGCCTTCGGGAACCGTGACTCACATGTTTGTGAGTCACGGTTCCCGAAAGCGATATTAAAAGTGGGATGAAAATAGTATTATTTTTTAGATGTAATGTCAATGATTTTTTATTGTATTATAGTAGCTGTAGACACTCTGTTTTTGTCATCCATTCATTATTCTAATTCCCCCAAATGAGAAGAAAGGAATTGTAATTCCGCCTCTCAAATCCAGTTATCGACAGGTTTTCGTATGTGGCCAAACAAGAAGAACTGAAAATTTGATTGTCAAATCGAAAATTGAACTTCACCATTGCGTTCATATTATCTTAAAACAATAGGATACACCTAAAGGCTAGTTTATAACACAACTCTGGATACCTGATCATCAACAAGAAAGGGGCAAAATGGTCAATTCTCTACTAAACACATCAATTCCATTATCAAATCGACAAACAGATAGTATTCGAGTGTCCAAAATTCTAGGAAACCTTCAAATTGGGATTGTAATCCCTTTTGAGTGTCCAATTGACCAATCCCTGTGACAAGGGTAAAATGGCCAATTCACACCTTGGCTTGTCAAATCCATGAGCGAACCTCACCATTGAATCTAAAGGTTTTGTTGGAACAATCTATAGCGATTTCGAAAAAAAAAATCTATAGCGTTTTCCTAGAAGCTAGGTTTGGGTTGAGGTGTTGACAATGTGAATCCATTCTGAATTCGAATTTGTAATTGACCTTTTATATATTTGTAATTTAGACATCTTACATAAATTTATAATCATAAGTAACTCTGACCATGTCAAGCAGAGTCATGTTTTCTATGACTCAAATTTGTAATAGTAATCCAACTTAAAATCGAATAAGGATCACCTCTAGTTACACAGTAATTCATTTTTTTTTTTTTTTTTTTTGTAAGTAATTTTTTTTTTTCTTAGTTGGGTAGTCACACACACATGCCTCTACAGAGGCTCGAACCCCTGACCTCTCTTTGAGAAGTAGGGGCTTGGTACCGTTAAACCACTGGCATGTTGGTTTTGTAAGTAAATTTTCGTAAGGAGTATTCCAACTTTTTCCTACTATGCATCCAAATATCTTCCTACTATGCATCCCAAATATGGGTGACGTGGCCATTTCTGGATCACTCATTTCAAAATGGAGTAAATGACACACTATTTCACTGGAGGTGATTTTCACCCCTTAAAATCTCCTCAATTTTTAGTCCAATTTTTATAACTCAAATTCAACTTGAGTTGAAATTTGAACAAAGGTACATTGGGCTTTAGTTTGAGAGTTTGGATATAAGTTCTAGTTGGGTTGAAAGCTTTTGATTTTAAATCAGTATTTGGAACTCTCATGCACTAGAGATGATGAGAGTAACAATGCCACCATTTAGGGAAAAAAACATAGAGTAACAATTGCCACCCACTCTTTATGGAGTACAATATCCTCTTCAGCACTAAAAATACAAAAAAAATTGGGAAATGTAATTTATTTATTCATTTTGGGGGTCTAATAGAAAAAGAAATTTTCTAAATTAGGAAAAGTACAAAACACCAGCATGCTATGTACCGAATGTGCAAATATCTCCTCGTATTAAAAAAATCTCTACATTTTTCAAATTGAGCAAATATGGACAAATTCTTTAATTTAAAATTGGGTAAAGTGCATTAAACCCCCCTGAACTATGGGGGTTTTGCAACTAACCCCCCTGAACTACAAAAAAACCCCCTGAACTTTCACTTTTTTGCAATTTGCCCACTTAGGCCACCGGAAAAGATAAAAGACAATTTTACCCTTATTCAAAACTACATCATTTCTATCTCCCTCTCTCTATTTCTCTATGTGTGTATATATTATAAATATATGTATATATATATATATATACATATATATATAGACACAGAGAGGAGAGGGAGCACATCGATCTCGCCGGCCAGTTATAGCGCCACCTCGTTCATGTCGTCGTTGACCGGCGACACCGACGGCAAGCAACCGTCATCCTCGTCGGCGTTCCAGATCACCAACATGTCCTATGTGTCCCGCGAAGAACGAGTAAAGGCGGCAGAGACCCGGGCGGCGGAGATGGACCATCACGGCCGAGTCCTCACCGGACGACCTTTTCATAGCCAACCTCTTCACGGCGGCAAACAACGAAAGCAGATCTGACATCCCAGTGTTGTCGACGGCACAGACGGTGATGGACTCCCGTAACTCCTTGTGCCACACCCAGCGCGTCATCACCGCCTCACCAGTAACTCCTTGTGCCGCTGTCCTCTGTCAAAGTCGGCGTCGTTTTTTGGGTTCGACGGCAACAAAAAACCATACCAGTTGTAGAGTTCATGATTTGGGGATTTTTTTTATTTTTTATTTTATTTTTGGTTGAATTTTATTTGGGGAAATTTGGCAAAACCATCATCAATTTCATTTTTTCGGCTAAGGTGGATTGGTTGGGCAGAATGGTGACTATGGAGGTTTTGGGTGGAGAGCGGTGATGGTTTTAATTGGTTGAAGGTGGTGGTGGACCGGTGGTTATGGGTTGAAGGCTTCGGACGGTGGAAAGGATGAAGGCGGCCTCGGCAATTTCGGCTTTGGATGATGTCGGCTGTGATGGACGGCGGGTGGTGTAGCGGCGGTGATGGACCGGCGAGGGCTCGGCCGTGAGGAAGAAATGCGGCAGTGGAGTGGACCAACCGGCAAGGATGAATCCAAGCTTCTTGTTCTGTAAATGGGTTTTGATTTTTTATTTTTTTTGTAATTTTGAAATTTTCTTGTTCTGTAAATGGGATGAATCCAAGCTTCTATGCCTTGGATCGTTTCAATTCTAATGCCAAAGGACCGGTCACGAGCATCTGTAAAACATACAACATATATATATATATAGATGTATACATATATAGGTAGATATATACTGCACAGATCGATGAGGGAGACGGACAAAACGTTAGGGCTTGTTTGGATACTAGTTGGGTCCAAATGTTTTTAAAGGTTATTATGGTCTTTTTACATTCCATAAGGGCTCTATGGTCATTTAGAGAAATATGGGCTATCACATGGTAGAAATCCATCGGCCGGTTGCCGGATTGGGGTAAAGTGCAACCAAACAACATACTTTAGGAGGGTTTTATGCTACTTTATAAATTCAGGGGGGTTTTTGCCTCATTAAGGTATAGTTGAAAGGGGTTTAATGCACTTTACCCTTTAAAATTTGAAATAGATAAAATGTCCTTTTAAGACAAAATAAAAATAAAAAGCACTGATTTCCAAAATATTGATAATTTTTTTGAATTTTTTATATATGTATATTTTGGGGTGGGGGGGGATTTTGGGGGGTTTTTTACAATTTTTTTGGGATTTTTATTAAAAAAAAAAAAAAGTGTGATTTACTTTAGCTCCCCTGCCAGCTACTGGTTTGGTACGGTGACTTTTGGGCCCAACCCAACCCGCTGACCCAACAGTCAAATCTTCTGAGCAGTCCAATTTTCCTTCAATTCAAACCCATCTTATCCTCACAGGGACACGTGTTCGTCTCCCGTAGCAGTTCCGTTATATTTTGACTGCCAATTTCCAGAGAAAATTGTTCTTGACATTCATAAAACGGTGTCGTGTAACCAACATCCATGGACGAAACGACGCCGTTAGTATGTGGGGAAGTTAATACAGGGACTATATTAATATGTGTAATACGGAGTACGATATGGTTTTTAGACGCATTAGGAGCATTTACCTGTTTTTGAGACCTCTGCTTCAACAGAGGACGAAGTAGAAAAAGAAGATAACGGTGTTGATTGTTGGCGGGAAAGGTGTGGGTCAGATGGTGGGATTTGGCGGTAAAGGAGGTGTGGGTCAGATTCTGGCCGCCGTCGCGGCAGCTCTCTTGCTCCGTCTGTTCTCCGGCCCTGGTCCGGCATTGTTGCCGGAAAATGAGGAGGAGGACGATGAAGACGGTGCCGGTGGAGAATTCGACGGCGGCGAAGATACGGAATCCGGTAAAGTTCCTCCAGTTACCATCCGGTGGAGCAACATCACGTGCTCCCTCTCTGATAAGTCCTCCAAATCAGTGAGTTATTCTTAATCTATAGTTAATCAATGACCAATAGCTAGGGTTTTGTCCAAATTGTGTTTGGACGGCTGAGAAAATGTAATAGAACGTATTGAAGTATTGCTTTGAAGAATTTTCAATGCAAGGGGAACGAGAAACGTGTACTCAACTAAGATTAATTTCACTATCTGTATGAATCAACTCATGGAAATATTTTTCGTACACGCACATGTATACCTTGGGAAAACAAGAATATAAATCATAGGACTCAGAATTTAATTTTCACAGTTTTATATTTTCGTGATTTTCTTAGCAACCAAACGGAGCATATTTTATTTGTGACGTTTCTGTGCTCATTTTATAGCCGTATAGCTATGAACTTTAGAAACTTTAGCAGGTTTTGTTAATGAATTTGACATTCTTCAGTCTCTATGTACGTGTGTGCTGATGTGTTTAAGGTAAAGACTTGTAGTAATCTTCAGTAATTGGGAATTCAGAAATGAGACCAAGAGATATTGAGATATATTTTTTTTTTTACTACTGACAGCATCAATTATTTAATTTTAAGATAATCAGCTAAAATTTATGTGTTGTTTCATTTGCTAGGTGAGATTCTTGCTTAAAGATGTGAGTGGAGAGGTGAAACCGGGAAGACTGCTTGCGATAATGGGCCCATCAGGGTCAGGGAAGACAACCCTTCTCAATGTTCTGGCAGGTCAAACAATGGCGTCCCCTCGGTTACATTTGTCTGGCCTTTTGGAGGTCAATGGACGAAAAATGTCAAACAAAAGCTACAAGTATGTTAGACTTGGCTGAAAGTGAAACTCTTAAAGCATTCCTTTGAAATATAGGTTGATTTATTGTATTTTTTGTAATTGCTATTGCAGATTTGCTTATGTGAGACAAGATGATCTTTTTTTCTCACAGTTGACAGTTCGAGAAACACTGTCTCTAGCCGCTGAACTCCAGTTACCAGACATTCCTTCCGTGGAAGAGAGAGATGAATATGTGAACAATCTCTTGTTCAAATTAGGCTTGGTAAGGCTGGCTTTACATTTTTCCAAAGTTGATTTGCATAGCTTAATTGTATCAAAAGATCATGTCTCCAATTGAGAAGTAGTATTTTAAGTAGCTGATCTTGACTGAGGTTTCCTTTCAAAATTCCTTGATATTGACATTTACTTCTTTTATGTGATGGTGAGTCATTATTAGTTTTTCAAAATAGAGTGATTGTTGCCCAAGAATTCGGAGGTGTGATCCTATTGAGTACTTCCTATTTTCCTTTCAGAATTCTTGCAGTTATAAGTAATATCAATCTTATCTGTTATTAGATGAAAAATTTAACTTTGATTGGAAACAACTTTGAAACTTTAAAGCTTTATGATTTCTTTTTCCTTGTGGTGGCTGCTTTATGGTCTTTCTTCAAAAGGTCAGTTGTGCTGATTCCTTGGTTGGGGATGCAAAAGTCCGCGGAATCAGTGGTGGTGAAAAGAAGCGTCTATCGATGGCATGTGAGCTTATTGCTAGCCCATCCGCCATATTTGCTGATGAGCCTACTACTGGTATGAATGCTTTCTATTTCTATGGTCTGCCTAAATGTCTCTTTGTTTTCTGTAAGGAAAGGTGATGAAACACTCCGCATATGCACATTTTATTTTTATTTTCAAATTGCCGATAACAACTCTTGAGCATCTTGGTAATCATGACTGGTTAACATTAGCTGGGATATATTTAATTAGGTACAATCGAGAGACTCATAGGATTTTGAGTTTAAAGATAATTCTTAGGCACTGATGAGAGAATCATATGGGGTGGTTATATTTGGTGAGCGTTTGAGTATAAAGAGAATGTTTTGGAGTAGTAACAGTGTAGAGGTTGAACTGCAGAAAAAATAGATTAATACTTGTTAATTGTTTATCCCATTATGTTTTTTCAATACACTCCATAATCATAATAAAGTCTTACAATGAAAGAGACCACACCGGAGAATAAACTTGGTCTGCTTAATATACAGTAATAGATTTTATCTTCCAGTCAATCTGGCTCATATAATTTGTTGTTTCAGTAGATTTAGAATCTTATATATATGGTCCAAATGAAATAATTTATGCTCCATTGTTATGTTCTGCATACTTGTTCAGTCAGTAAACTATTAATTGCTTAGTCTTACTAACAAAAACAAGCTTGGGAAAGCCAAAACTTGCCAAACTTGAATATGCCATTTTACCTTGATTAAGCACGAGTCTTGAAAAGATAAGATTAAAACTCTCAGCTTGACTCGGCTTAATTTTCGCAACTACTTTTCAATGTCCAACATTAGGCTACTTGTGACGGAGGGTGTGGAAGGAATAAATTGACCTAATTCTATAACATATAGTTTTTTATTAAATGAATATATAGCATATAAGACAAACATATAATTTTGATTCATTTTCATGGCTTTTATGTTAATCATTGCATAATGTGGAAAATGCAACTTGAGAAATATTTTTCCATAATTATGTATATATACTACTAATCCTCTCTTATGATACATATACCATCCTATTTTCTTTCTTCTTTTCCAATTTTTTGTTAGAGCAAGGTGCATATTTTGGAGCGTTTTTTTCCTATTTACGAGAGTATGGAACATAGCTCCGTTCAAGTATTGATTAATGTCTGCAAAAGTGTTGTCAAGTATATGAAACTATATAATATATTTACATTATGAGCACAACCAAGAAGTGTCATACATGTAATTATTCGTGTCCATGACATGCTGATGGCTGACGTGTTTGACACATATATGGCTCCTTTGTAGAAGTGTCATCGTGACTTAGATGTCTAGTCTCCGACCATGTAAATCAAATTAAAGTGTTGCCAAGTGTTGAGAGCTTTCTTGCCCCAACCTTCCACTGAAGGATTATATGTCATTTTCTGAGCTTTTAATCGAGAGGCTTCATGAGTTAATTTTGAAACATCATCTTGGTCTTTATAGGATGAAATAAGATCATGAAATTTCAATGTTTCTTTGAAGCATTATATTTTATTTTTATTTTTCGTATGTTATCCTTTAAAATTTGAAATATTTCCTCTTTCTAGTTATCAAAATGATTTATTAGCTTCAGCTATTTCCAGTGATTTCATGTCGTTATGCTCACTCATCATTGAATTATTCATAACTTCTGTACTAGTTCGTGATAATTGTACCATTTGGGCTTGGTATAACTGAAGCAGTAAATATAAGGAGAGAAAACTGTGAGGGGAGGACCAACAGCCTAGACTGTTACGTCATAGTATGCACAGTTCTATTCAGACCTAGAGGGGAGTATAAGTCATAGGGATTTTAATATTCTAAGTTTTAATCTTCAATTATAATTTTTTAATTCCTAATTAAATTTAACTCATGTCTCAATGATCAAACCAATTAAAAATATGTAAGCATTCGAAAACACATAAGGCATTATCACAAAGTAAAAGAGAGATTCACTGAAAAAAATTAAAAGAGAGACTAAATTTTACATGGAAAACCCTAGAAAGGGGGAACAAATAGGACCTTCAGTCCGGGCAAAAACAACCTTCTATAGAGAAAAAAATGTTTAAAGCCCTAGGTATCAAACTCTATCCTCTAAAGTTAGCCTATTTAGCTTTGATTGAGAGTTAAGACTCACATACATCGTTCTCCATCAATCATGTATGTTGTCAATCAACAAACTTGTTTTTTAAAAATGTTTGCTCTCCTTGGTTGTTCATTTGCTCCTTGATCTTCTGTAAATCTGGTTGTTTGATGGTTGATAATCTTCATTTGACTTCATGCTTTGATTTACTTAATCACATATGGAATTTCTTGGTGTGCTATGTAAAACCCAGAATTGCATATCAAAGCTCTATTCTCTCTCTTTGTGCCTCTCAATCTCACAAGAACATTATAACCATGTATCTTTAGTCAATACAGGAATCCTAAATAAAATAGGAAAGTTGTATCAGTCAGTTTTATGAAATTCGGAATAGTCAAAAACTTTTGCCTGGATTGATTGGGCTTCAGGTTTGATTGTTCGAGCTACTCTAGTAGCCTTCACTTGATAGATTTTATCGACTGTTATCAATCGTTCGATTCAATCTGCTTTGATTTCAAGGGTCGGTCGGGCTCTTAATCATTCCTTCTTTAATTTTTTAAAATTTTCCAATAGTTCGATTAATCCACATTAGGGTTCAATCAATCAGAGTCCCTGCTTCAAAAATATTTTGATTATAGTAATTTAAATCTTTTTTAGGCCCAAGTCTAGGTCATGGTGGTCCATCTATCTCATAAATAATCTGACCTACCAACGGGCCAGTGGCCTAACGGTATCAGTCTCTTACCTCCCAAAGGGAGGCCAGGGGTTCAAGTCTCAGAAGAGACGTGTGTGTGAGTACCAACTAGGAAAAATAAAATAATATAAAATAAAAAAATCTGACCTAGATCCCTATGTTCGTTAAGGTCTTATATCACCTTTACCTAATTATGTGATTGAGCTTGATGAATTTCTCCATTTTCTTTGATGTCACTTCATCTTCATTCTCTTCAGTGATACACATATAGACATACTAATGGACATTTTGTTCTACCAAAACCTAGTTTTGTATTGGAACTTTCAAATTTATGACTATATCTGCAGAAATTTTCGTCTTTTTTTCTTTTCCCAATTCTTTGTTGATTTAGTAATTAGATAACTTATTACATGCTTTCAGGACTTGATGCCTTCCAGGCAGAGAAGGTAATGGAAACACTCCGACAACTTGCACAGGATGGACATACTGTAATTTGCTCCATACACCAGCCTAGAGGTTCAGTGTATAGTAAATTCGACGACATTGTGTTGCTAACGGAAGGCGCACTTGTTTATGCTGGTCCTGCACATGATGAGCCACTGACCTACTTCTCAAATTTTGGGTAGTTATTTAAACTTGGCTCATCTAATATTTCTGTGTGTGTACAACTGCCTCTTTCTTAGAAATGATTGTTTTATCATTTTGTTTTGGACATGTTTATCTTGCTAAAAATAAGCTAGCATGCTACATGCAAAATTTTAGTTTTCAAAAGAAACAAAAATTACTCTCCAGAAATGCCACCAAGCAGACGCGGTATCCAATCTATATTTACTGCAACTATTGGTAACCTTGAAGTCAGTTTCGAGTTGTCAATAGGAACTATCTTTTAACCATTTGGCTGTACTTTCTTTGTTTGTTTGGCATAGAGGTGGCTCAAAGGGATTGTTGGACGATTGAGTTGTCTGGTTTGTTTCCTAGAACTAAATTTTGTTTTTAAATAAACTTCTGCTGAAACTATAGTCTTCCAGTTGTTTTGATGTAAAAATATTACTCCAAAAAGTGTTTTAACATAATTATTTTCCCATAGAAAACAATGACTTCCTTTTCCTTGGAAAACTTGAACTTCCTTTTCCTTTTTAGCGTCAGATTGAAGTTGTACATAATAATCTTCAATTCTAAAAACTCCATGTTACATATAAACATGCATATCTTGTATTTAGTGCCATTGATACGTGTGTATATAGAATGGATATATGGATATATAGATATTTAGATCCACTATACATTGACATGCACGTGACAGGTGTGTACTAGTATAAACTCATATATAAATATATATAATGCACATGCGTATGTGAACTAAGCACCCTTACGTGTTCATATAGGTCTTCGTGTATGTGCATTATATAATTATTACACACACACACGCACACACACACACACATATATATGCATATGGTATGAGCTCAGGAGTCTATCTGCCGATATGAAAATGGCATGTTGAGGAGGAAGTCATAACTCACAAATTATTTCAGTTTCTATAAGCTGTTATTTATTTATATAAATTTTTTTTTTTTCCCTCAAAAAACATGCATAATTTTTTTTACAAATAGCCAAACACCGTAAATGAACTGTTTTTTGGCAAATAATTAGTGGCGAATGACTCCTTTTTCCTATATAAATTATAAATTTTCACAAGATGCGGTGAACCATGAATAATATATATGATAGTTCTAAGGACCGGAATCCGAGGTTTTAACACCACTTAGCATAAGGCCAAAAACTAATTTACATTGGTGAATAGATTGAAAATAACTGATTCTAAGTTCTAATAATTATTATTGAAACACAGCAATATGAAGTAGTTAAGTATAGAGAGCAGAAAGATATAAATTATGCAATCACACAAGAATACACGTTTTTTTTATGTGGAATATCTTATCGAGAAAAACTACGGGACCTAGTCCAGGCAGACCAAATCCACTCTGAGAGAGGAAGGTTACAACCTTGGTTAACAATTCTCAAAACCTTAGAAACCCCTACTTACCTCATTGACATTAAGGACGCCAAACTTTCTCCTGAAAATCAAGGCTGCCCGTTCGCTCGTTACCAGAGTTCTTCCTCATGCATGAACTTCTCCACTAGTGAATTGGTCTCAACCACTAGTCGTCTAGGTTGTGTGTGTTTGTTGTATAAAAACACTTGGGTGTTGATGGCAATGTAAGTGTTGGGTTTTGTGGCTCGAATTCAGTGTGTATGCAGATTTTTATCGATCGACACTTTGATCGAGCTACTCTTGACTTCGATATAGTCTATTAATTTTTCTGAAAATTGTCAGTTGATCAACGAGGCTCCCTATATATATATATATTTTTGTTGAAAAATTCTTGTTTAAATATATTTATTCCAAAAACAACTTTATGCAGTTAAAACATCTTTTTCATGAATCAAGATGTGTGTGAATTATGCATTAAAATGAGAATGCATGATCATGAAATCCTAATTGGTTAGTTAGTTATCCAAAAGGTGATTTTAGCTTTTTGCCGTTTGATGTATATTCAGATTCTGACTGCTCCTGGACAAAGGAACCACCACAAACTTACTAAATAAGCTAACTTTTGAAAATCTGATTAAAAGCTAAAAACAAAAATACAAACTCCAGCTTTTGTCATGAATTTGGCAACACTAAGTTCTAATCCTAACAAGATCCTTAACAACATGAAGCACACTGTACAAATTGAACATGTGATTTGAAGTTTCGAACCTGAATATATGTAAAAATTTACATGAGCCTTTGATAAATCAACAGCTGTTTCATAATTTCTTTTAACTAGAACAATGTACACAGGAAGTATAAAAAAACGTACACAAGTTGTCACATTATAGCAAATGGACTGTCAAGTCCATAAGACGGTAACATTCATAATGCTGCTTGTATTATTATGTATTTATGTCCAAATCAAATCGGAAACTATTTTTTTTCCCTTTCCATTTCTTCCCTATTAGCGGCTTAGCATATATTTAACCATCTGTGTTGAATGCTTTCCATTATTATGTTGTTAGCACACAAAATAATGATACAAGTTGTTCGCTTTTAAAATTTATGGTCTATGGCTGCACTATGTGTATAACTGAGTGCTATGTTTAGTTTTTAATTATTCATGATGTAGGAGTAATTTCTAACTGCTATTTCAGAAAGACTTAACAGATTAATGCTTGCTCAACAGGTATCGTTGCCCAGATCATGTGAATCCTGCTGAATTTTTGGCTGACCTAATATCCATAGACTATAATTCTGCCGAAAGTGTCTACTCTTCCCAGAAAAGGATAGATGGTCTTGTTGAGTCGTTCTCACAACAAACATCATCAATTCTATATGCAACTTCTCTTACTAGAAGGGAGTCCTTTAAGAAGAGCATGAACTTGAAACAGAAAACTACTTTCAAATGGAAAGGAGGATGGTGGAGGCAGTTCTGGTTACTTCTTAAACGTGCGTGGATGCAGGTAGTTCTTTCTAAAGTCATTCAATTCTTAGGGTTACTATACTGTTTATGTATATATATATATACATATCCAGCAAAGACATAATTTTAGTCCTTCACTTTGCTCCATCTATAATTGCGGTTCATTTTCCTAAGTAATTTTCCTGGTGTTCAGACAGACTTTAACAATATTATTCACCATCAGTTTTTTATGTTTGTTATGACTTAAGTCACTTGACAATGAGGAAACAACCAGAAAGATGCATATAGCTAGTACAGTGGATTCATATAATACAGTAGGTTGTTATGTGACATGCTGTAGAGAAGCTCTCGTTTTCAATCTACTTCTGTAATTTTATTGTGTAGAAATTGTATTTACATTGTCAGTATTTCAATGTCTTGTCCTCTTTAATTGAGGACCTGTGAATGGATGGAATGACTAGGCTTCTCGCGATGGGCCAACAAACAAAGTTCGGGGAAGAATGTCAATTGCATCAGCAATAATATTTGGTTCAGTTTTTTGGAGAATGGGAAGATCTCAGACTGCAATACAGGACAGAATGGGATTGCTCCAGGTACAAAATATTGATGATTAACTCGAAATTCTTTCATATAGTTATGATTGATTTGCAAAATATTCATTGCAGTATACAACTCTAGTTGTTTTAAGCTGTGATAACCCTAAGGAGGAACAATAGGCTTCTCTTCAATTTTGATTCTGTCCATTTCCATCACGCACTGTTTATTTTAATTGCCTCCTTTAGCATAGGTTGGCTCCACATGAATTTATAGTTAATAATTGCTATAAAATAAGTGGACAGAATTGAAATTGAAGAGGACCTAAGCCTGGAACACCCTCTTTATGAATAGCTCTTCTTTCACTTTTTTTTGCCCCTTTAATGAGAAAATTATGGGAATGATGATGTTCTAAGTGGTGAAACATCATAGTAATTGTGGGATTTTTTTTTTTTTTGCATCTTTATTTGTCCTCGTTGAGGGATGAATCTCCGAGGTTGTCAATGAAACCATTACTATTTTTTGCCATGGTGATTGTGTAACTGCACTTGTGAATTTCTGTAGAGAAGACTTCATGTACAGAAGACTTCAATACCATTTTATGCCTGGCATCCTACTTCTGTTATCAACATCTAGCTCAAGTATTGACCACAAATTCTGTACTTCTTGAGATTGGTACGTTTGTGTTTTAAAAAATTACACTGCAACCACTAATAGAAGCTGTCGGCTAACGCTGTTAACAGAAACTTTGAAGTTACGGTTATACCCTCATTCTCCTAATGTTACTTTCTTAAATAGCATTGACAAGTCAATGAAACGTGAAAAGACTTAAAAGCCAATTAATGAAGTCCATATTTTCTTTGGAGTACCATTTCCCTAAAGATGCACACAGACACATATATAAAGATGCATATACATATACACCTATATAGAAGCTGTCGGCTAACATTGTTAACGGAAACTTTGAAGTTACGGTTATACCCTTATTCTCCTAATGTTACTTCTTAAATAGCATTGACAAGTTAATGAATTGTGAAAAGACTTAAAAGCCCATGAATGAAGTCCATATTTTCTTTGTAGTACCATTTTAAAACCCTAAAGATGCACACACACACACACACACACACATATAAAGATGCATATACATATACACCTATATATACACAAATACAACTATAATAAAGTATTCTAATCCGCACATATTTATTTAAATACACTGCTTCAACTAGAATTAATACTAATTCCAACTAAATCACACTTCTTATTTAATCTCATTCTTCAACCCATCAGCTCATTCACCACGTTTCAAATATATAAATATATCTACGTATATTGTATGTATAAAACCCAAACCACAGACCAACAAGCTTTAGGTCTGCTTCTGATTCTTTTAGATACATACCAAACTCGCCACGCATTTTCGAACTCTCCTTTCCTGTGGCTGACATTGATTCAACCCCAATTGACATGTCTTTGGTCCCTTTAATATCCACCACAGATGTTGCGGTAAATGCCATAAACAAACGATACGAAGGGTTGGTCAAGGTTCGAACCAAAGCCATCAAAGGCAAAGGAGCTTGGTATTGGGCACATCTTGAACCCTTTTTCGTGGTAGGCTCGATTTCAAGTACGACAAAGCAAAAAATGGAGTCAGAAGCTAGAATTAGGGAATCTTTTTCTTTCAAGTTGCTTCTTATGGGTTGAAGAGCAAGAACGTAGAAAGTGGGGAAGATAATTTTACTAAGTTGAATCTAAACTAGAATATACTCTCTTTTTTCTTTCTATAACTTTATTTATTATATACTAAAATATGTATTAGATATTTAATTAGTAAATTAGATTTTTTTTTTTTTTTTTTTTTTTTTTTTTTCTTATTTGGTACTCACACACACATGCCTCCACCGAGGCTCGAACCCCTAACCTCCCTTTGGGAAGTAGGAGCTGGGTACCGTTAGGCCATTGGCATGTTGGTATATTAGATATATATTCTTAAAATATGTTAGATGTAAATATATGTATACACGCAATTTGTGTATATACAGACTAAATCTTGAATTAATCGATCCATTAATAACCCAAACTTCTGTGGACTAGTCAGAGAAACAAGGGTAGAATGGTCTTTAATCTGAAGGCAAAATTGTCCATATAATGAGATGTTTAAGGAGTATTTTGTCCTTTTACTTGTTTAAAGGAAAAAATCGGCATTTCAAATTGTTTAGATAATCCTTTTGTAACGGTCAACCCATTTGACCACCATGGCTGGGTTCTCAATGTTACCTAAACATAAACATTAAGGGTACCATGCGCAATTTTTGAAAATACGAGGGTGCCATGTGTAATTTAAGCTTTCATGAAGGGGTAAGTGTAATTTTCCCTATTTTATATTTCATATGCTCCTTAATTGTTCAAAATGTATCCATTTTAATAATAATTTTGCATGGTAACAGTGAGAAAATCCATTTCATAACAAGTACCTGGTCTTAAGCACTCTCGTGCCATTCAACCATCAGTTTCATATGTCTTGCGCATGGTTTATATTGGCCTTTTCTCTTAATGTGCACGCATGTTTGGCATTTTCTTATTTATTATTATTTATTTCATTTTTTTCGTTTATTTAATTATTTATTTTCTTGTGGGCCGAGCTTTTTCTCTATCTTATGTACCAAAAATAAGTGCAATTCAGCCAGTTAATACAAGTATTTTACTAGAATTTGGTGGATACACTGAATTTTTAATTGATATGGTTCATTCAAGTAGTTTACTAGAACTTCCACTTCAAATCTAGTTGATGACATTCATGTCGCTGGATATTGTTTTTTTAAGTTCGTTTATGGAATTACTAAGGAATTTTCATCCCCTTCTGAAGTCCTCATATGCAGTTTTCCACTCTTCTGCTGTGGCTAGTCTGTGAAATGTCCCTTGCTGAACTTTTATCCTTGTCTTGTCAAAATTAAGAAAAATATTTCTGTCAATAAATTGGAAGCTATGATATTCAAGTTCCAATTTGATTGAGTTTACATATTCAAGTAAAACAATATTTGGTTGTTTATCTGGGTTTCTTTTTCCTTCTTTTCATTTTCCTCTCTCAGGTTGCTGCTATAAACACAGCAATGGCTGCACTCACAAAGACAGTGGGTGTGTTTCCCAAGGAACGTGCAATTGTAGATAGAGAGCGTGCTAAAGGGTCTTATACATTAGGACCGTATCTGCTGTCCAAGCTGATAGCTGAGATCCCTGTTGGAGCAGCATTTCCATTATTATTTGGCACTGTTTTGTACCCCATGGCTCGTCTCCATCCTACTTTGTCCAGGTGATTTTTCTGCTAATTTTAACATTATGAGGTTCATATTGTGATACTAAATGCAGCTGTGAATGCTACTTTATATCATCCTCAACTCCGAATGATATATTTTCTTGAGCTTTCAATATTTTTTGCTGTGTGTATGTTTGCTAGTAAATGTTTAAGCTAATACATATAAGCAATTTAACCTTTTAGGCATGGGATAGTTTATCAATTGCAACATTTGATGGAACTGATTCTGAACTTTGACTTTTTAGATTTGGAAAGTTCTGTGGAATTGTGACAGTGGAGTCCTTTGCTGCATCTGCAATGGGCCTAACTGTTGGGGCGATGGTTCCAACCACCGAAGCAGCAATGGCCTTAGGGCCGTCTCTTATGACAGTTTTCATTGTATTTGGAGGCTATTATGTTAATGCAGATAATACACCTATAATCTTTCGATGGATTCCTCGTGCTTCACTTATAAGATGGTAAATTTATTCTTACTTACCAGTGAGAGAAATCTCATCGAATTGATACAAACTGACTGGTGGATATTTTCTTTCTTTCCCGACCATTGATATCGCTAATATTTCTTGGGGTACTTTCAGGGCATTTCAAGGGCTTTGCATCAATGAATTTACTGGTCTTCATTTTGATCATCAGCATTCATTTGATATACAATCTGGAGAACAGGTAAGGGAATAAATTTAAACACTATTTGATTATTTAATATGAAGATCTCAAAAGGGATGGCTCTAATGGGATCAGACCAGAATCTGAGTGGACAAAACTAATTTTTTATCGTAATTACTGGATTATGGTTCAGGCCATAGGGCTGGTATATGTGGAGCTTCAGGCTTGTTGAGCATGAGATCTTAGGATTTTGGAAGTTTCTATCGTACTGATAAAAAAATTATATTATTTGATATGCTTTGAACTTTTTGTTTCAAGATTATGCTTCTGCTTCTACTAAGCCTAATCTGTCATTATGTAAAGAAAAGAAAGATGAGCCTTCATGAGGAGATCTTGCTTAAGGCAGCTGCAAGATAAGCAAAAAGTAGTTTTTGTCATCCCCACCGTCTGGTTATCAAAAATGATAAAGCTCTCGTGTCAAGAATCTCAAGCTTCATATGCATGATGAATGTCTTGCGCCAAAATTTATAACTTCATGAGTCATCGTGATGGACTGACCTCCTGTAGAGATGCGATAACTGCTTGTTGCTGACCTTGTAGCTTTATACTTTTGAGAGGTCCTTGTGGAGCCTTGTTCTTTCTTGCCCTTCTAATTATACCACCATTATAAATGTGTATATGTACTTTTGTGTGTGCGCGTGTGTAGGGGGGTGGGGGTGAGGGGTGGTTTACATTTCATTGAAATGGTTTCTCATAAGATTGAGTTGAGTCCATGTCGGGGCATTAATTTAAATTGCAGATCTTGAACACGGCTGCTATACCAAAATTATAGATGCCTCACTACACATGCCTCAACTATGGTTTATTGTCTGTTTATATAAATGTGGTGGGACAAAAGCTTCCAAGTTGACTGATGAAAGAACTGAGCTATTTTGATTTTCTTTTTTTCCTTTTGATTTCTGCAGGCACTTGACCGCCTTTCCTTTGGAGGCAGTCGCATTAGAGATACAGTTATGGCTCAAAGTAGAATACTGTTGTTTTTGTACTGCACCACTTATCTTCTCCTCGAGAAAAACAAGCCCCAATACCAGCGCCTTGAGCAGCCGCCTCTTAACCAAATCCAAACAGAGCCAAAGCTTGAGCCTTCTAAGAGTGACCAGGAGGAGGAACCATACGAGCAACTTGAACCTCCTCTGCATGACCAAGGTAAACCAACCGAGAAGCTTGAATCTCCTCCCATTGACCAAATGAACCTCTATAACCTAGAAGGTCTGTAAATTAATTAGGCATTGATGATGTTGACATGAGATGTGCTCCTATTTGATGCTTTATCTCATACAGGTGCTATGTAAAGAAGATGCCTATGCAATAAAGGAAAGCCCCATGCCTTTTCTGAGCTAATGAGCTGTTCTAGTGAAACATGATTGCAGTTAACACTGTTGATTTATTGTATCATTACAACTCGACTCAGCTAAAAGATTCTTATTTGGAGCTGCTTGTGATGGATGGCTTGCCAGGACAGCACCAAGTTTCAGTAAATGTGATTTAGTTTACAGTTTCAGGATAATCTTGTTTGTTTGTTTTTTATTTTTAGTTTGTTTGTCGGTTTTTTAATTTTAATTTTTTCGTTGTGTTGTTTTGAATGGTTTGTTTCTCTAGTAATGTACTATAATTGGTGTTTAGTTTATTGATACTTAAGAGTCCGTTTGATATGAGGAAAGCGTTGAGGAACAAGTGACTGTGATGGATGGAACGTCCATCTAGGAGAAAAGGAAGGGTTTAGGAAGGGAGGAAATAAATCATTTTATTTGGACTCATCATAAACCTTCCTCTCAATGTTCCTTGGTCTTGGGAAAAAGGAGGGATTTTTTTTTTTTTTTTTTAATTTTTTATTGGGAAGAAACTCACACCAATTTGTCTCTACGGTGACTTCAACCTTCACTTTACACTTTGAAAGGTAAAGGAAACATCCTCACTTTTCACTTTAGAAGATAGAGAAAATACCTTTGGTAAGAGGAGGGTTCTTCTTTTATCAGTTTCATTTTTGCTCTTCTAAAATGCTTCTTTCTAATCATGGAAGTATATCATGGTCAAAAGGTATAATGTCCCTTTCGTTCTTTATTTCCTTCCTACTCAACCAAACAGCAAAAGAAAAGCTCCTATTTTGGTGATACAGTTTTGGGTAAATTATATTGTACTCCTTGATGTTAGGTCAAATTTTAAATAGATGGACATTTGGTTAACTGTCAATTACATTTTGAAAGAGTGAATCCCACCTGTCACTTTTTAGTGGTGTCAATGTACTTTATACATGAAAAATGACTATATTATATTCTTTTGACTTCTTGTTGACTTAAAAAAGGTATTTAAAATTTTTTTTATGACAAAAATACCTCCAGCAGTTCTCAAAAAGCCATCAACATAACACATTACTATTATCCAAATTCATGAATAAAATAAAAATAAACTAAATTAAACAATTAAACATTTAAAGTAACACATAATTTCAAACAAACACACCATCAAATTACCTCAAACAAACACACAAATAAAACACACAATACTCATTAATCAATTAAATCATTTAAACACATAAACATATACCCATATAAACACATAACTACATAATCAATTAAAATGTAATTAAAATAAATAATTAAATCCAAATAATCCCAAATAAATCCTTTAAAAAGTAGGGGTATTACATTTAGTACATTGGATTGATAAATAATAGTTATCCAAAAAACTAATTAAGTAACAGTTGGGGCTAAATTATAATTATTTGTATCCTTGACTAAGAATTAGCAGTGGACTAGAATTCAATTAAAGTTTTAGATAAAGAGATGCCTATCAGATGCCACTCCTAGTCCAACATGGAATGTAAGTAGTAGATCAAAAGGTAAATTTGTGTAGAACAAGAAGATGTAAATTCTTTGGGACTTTTCCAAAGGAGTAGTATAATTGCTCCTAAGCTCTAAAATGCCAAAATTTTTATATTATGAAGAGAGAAAATTACTTCAATTTCAAAGCAGAGAGATACATTTTTATATATCGGATTATTTTTACAAATTCTGAAGAAGATCTAAAGCCCACAATTTCAACTACATGAAGATTTCCTAACCAAAGATAGAAGTGAAGATCTAGAAGGTACCACATTTGATACAACATCGAAGGATTGTGGATTCCCAATCTGGCAATCAATTAATTAATTGGTGGTAGATATTTATTCAATCGTCTACGAGGTATGTTGATCTAAACTATTTCGGTAATGAAGGATTAAATTATTTTGTTAAAATTGATTGAGATGATCATGGGATGCTCGTAGAGAATATTTTTATTAATATCTAAAAAAAATTCCGCTATATTATTTTTATCGTTCTACGGGATAGATTCCTAACACGAACACTCTGCCCCCCTGGGATTTAATATAAATAATTAGAAAATCAAATTTTTATATTTTTTCAATAAATTCTTTAAAAAATCATTTTAAGTATTAATGATGCTAAATCTCCCTTTGCGAGAAAAAATTATTCACAAATTCACTTTTTGTACTTGTCACCCTTTTGAGCACCCAAATTTGGCTATGTATGGAACAGTTGACTTTTCACTTTATTTGATTTTTCTATAGGAGTGGTGGATTGGATGCGCTCATTGGGCTCAAAATGCTTGTTTAGGAAGACTAAGACATCCCAGAGTGTTTTGATTGAGTTATTGGGGGCATTTTAGGGTGATAAATTACAATTTTGACCATGTTTGAAGGGTTTTTGGACCTTTCGGTCGTAATGGTGACGTTAAATTTATGATTCGACCCGACCGTCCGATTGTCTTTATTCTTATTAGAAATGTGGAACGACTATTTTGTCGTTCTCTTGATCAAATGGTCTGTGGATGCCTTATACACAAGGCATGAAGCATACCCAATGTTTTTGGGTGGTTTGGAAGTAATGAAGAAGTCTAATTTTCCTCCTGCATGTGTGAGTTGACTTTTTTACCCTCATCTTAGAGTTTAGTCAATTTGGACTTTATAATGGGATTAAATCCCAACTTGTAGCATATCCTAATGTTCTTGGACCTTATGATGATAATGGTGAAGTCCGTTTGTCATTTTAAGAACCGAATCAGTGTTATAAGGTACAAAAGTATGATTTTGTGCTTAACTAGGGCTTGATGATCGGATGTCAAGAATCATTTGTATGAGCTTGACTCTAAGTGTATCTCAAAGTTTTGGGATGCTCTGGACACCGTGGTAAAATTGGATCTTTGATCCATAGGTAGGATTTTTCTCGTGTTGTAAATTTTTACCAATTGACCTCGAAATCGAGAAAGGATAAAATGGGGTGTCTATAAAGACAATTACTTAAAAAATGTAGGGATGTCTCATCCATCATTTATTCTCTCCATTCCATTCAATTTTTTTTTTTCTTTCCTTCCCAAAGAAGCATAATGGTAAAAATATACTTGAAACAATGGAGGGTAATTTAGGCATTTTATTTTATCAATTTAAAGAAGGGGGAGTTAGAACAAATTAAACCAAACCTAATGGACTATCAGAACAATTTTTGCAAAGGTTTAATCTGAGAGCTATAAATCCAAACCTGAGGGGTGGTCAAGCATTTAACTCGAAATTTATTTGTATGTACTTATTCTACTTAATACCACTACAAGAAAAACAGTTTTTTTACCATGCACTTTCTACCACGGTTTTAAAATAACAGTGGTAGAAAACCCTTTCTATCACGGCTAATGAAAAACCGTGGTAGTAATTATATTCTACCATGGGTAAGCACCGTGGTACAGGGCGGCCCTGGCCCAAGGCAACTAAGGCGCCTTGGGCCTCAAATTTTAGAGGGCCTCAAAATTTAGAGGCCCATAGGGGATGGAAAAAAAATAATAAGTTAGGACACGTCTGCATTGGGCCTTAAATTTTGGAGGTGTCAAATTTTGAGGCCTATAGGGGATGGTAAAAAAAAAAAAAAAAAAAAAAAAAAAAAAAAAAAAAAAAAAAAAAAAAAATTGTTAAGTGATTAAGGCACACAATTGGTTTCAAGAGGACCTTTACGTTACCAGAACAAATAAAATAAATAAATAAAACAAACAAACAAACAAACTTACCTCCCCCAGGGGCTCCTCGGATTGTGACTCTTCCTCCCCCTCACCACTTTTTATATTGTTCTCCCTTTCTTTACATTCAACCATTGGTGATGAATCATGGATCCTCCCTTCCTCCTTGGACTCCTTCAAGTGTGACTCATTCTCCCCTTTGCCAGGCTTGTGATTTTTTTCAGTTTGCTTGTCCCTTTCGAGAAATTCAATTATCTCATCATCCTGAGTTCTCTCTCCCTCCCCACTTTTCGCTTCCCGGGGCTCCTTGGAAGGTGATTCTTCCTCCCCCTTGATGACGACCCGAGCGTGTGCACAAAATAATGCACAACACTTTGAAGTTGGAAATTAGTGTCAAGTGGGCATCATACTTTAAATTTATGAACCGCTTAACACCTATACTATGTAGTATGAGTGAGAAGGGATCGTCCCAAGGGATTGAGGATCGTACTAGGTTGAGGAATCAAGATTAGGGTTAGTAGGTCGAGTGATCAAAATAGTGGTTGGTTGGTTGAATTAAACTAGATGCAAATTGAACTAAAGTAAACAATAATGCAATAAAGAGAATAAAAGAGAGAGAGAGAGATCATGGGGTTTAGAGATCACCACTAAGCATACTTTTTCTACACCTTTAATGAATGATTAATGAGGGGAAAAACATGTATTGCAACAAAGAGTGTATGTGTAGTTGTTTCAATAAGCATGGATGACAAATTAAGCATATATTGTCCAAGCAACATGGTGGATAGTACAACATATCAAATTAAGCCATTAATCCCTTCTTTAAGCTCACAACCAAACACATCACAAGGTTAGAGATATATGTTACTTGCTTTCATAAGTATGGAACATCAATAACAAGTATGGATTGTCCTCCCATTTAACAACTACACTACAACTAAGCTAATGACATGAAATTAAACTAATTAAACTAAGGGAGAGGTACAATCTATCAAGAAATGAGTATGAACTATCAAATAAACCACAAGAACATGCCATTAAGCACTATGTCTTGACTGTAACAACCCGGTCATTTGCCTTCCTTTCCTTTTTCCTGAAATTTTACGAATGAATTTTTTTTTGTTTAATTTTCTTTTCTGAGCTCTATTTCGTGTTGCTTAGTGTCATCTCGAGTGCTCAGAATTGGTTTCTGAGACTCTTTCATGTGAATTGACAACTTCCTTTAAGGACCGAGTCATTTTCGCATTTTTCGTTTTTGGACACTATGCGCCTTTCGTCCTTTTTCCTATTTTGTCTTTTTCCCTATTCTGTCTTTTCCCCATTTGTCACATTGTTGGCACAACCTCACTTCTCATGCTCGGAGTTGGTTTTTGACTTCACGTGCCTTCAACTTGAGTGGTTTTCTCGAAATACGTATCTTTACTTTTGCAAGAAAGTACTCTGGTTGCTCCTGGTGTCCATAGGGGTATGGATGCAAAGTTCTTTGAAACTATTTTCTTTTCTTGGGGTGTTTTTCATAAATATATTTTGAAGATATTTTATTTCTGGGGTTTTTAAGAAAATATTTTTGGAAGATATTTTCATTCTGGGCCATAAGTGCAATTTTCACTTTTTGGAGGGGCCATTGTGC